AGAGAGAGAGACCCCTTGATGTTGGACTCTCCAGCACTCTGGAGCCAACAGATTCTTGTTCATTAGAAAATGCCTGGTATATAGTAATATGTAACTATAACACAGAAAACATGGAAACAACTTCATATATTCATCTGTGGCTTAACAGAGTTCAACCTTTCTATCCCATGGAAGCAGGTCATAGTACAGTGAAGCCAGGCTTACCCAGGAGGGCCTAAACGTCACAGCATTGAGAGTTCTCCTCTTGGTGTTTACTTTCCTCACTTGCCTTTCTTCTTTAGACCAAGTCTCCCCTCATTCCACAGAGTATGTGGATATCTCTTTGGATAGGAAAGCTTGCCTCTTCTAATGTCCCCCCAGATTTCACATACACAGAAAGAAAAATCAAGGCAAATACATACATAAAGTTCTTGTTCCTCGGGAGTTCCTGTTTCCCACCCAGGTTGTTGCTACCTCAATGCAAGAATGGGCAGTCATATAATTTACATTGGTTATGTGTAGGCCCTAATCCCACCAGCCAGCAACATGGGAAACATATTTTGAATTTATTTTTCATTGTGGCGTTGTTTTGTCTCTTCCTTGAATTGTTAGGGAAACAGTAATCATTTCATTTCAAAGTAGCTTTCCATCTTTCTTGGAAGCAGGCAGAAAGGAAGAGTGTACAGTCATATTTAAGCTTCTCTTCATCTTACTCGGAAATCTGAGGTTTGAGAATTTTACAGTTAAAAACTTTATTCTTTATTTACCATTTCCTGGAAACTAGGAAGGACAGTTTCTTGTATTATGTAAGCTCAGATTCATTTACCCTACCAAGGCCAAACATCCAGAAAAGTAGTGGGATTGAGTGTAGAAATGACTAAATAAGACCCTAAATAAGAGAAGTCAGTGTTTCTTCTGAAATCCAGGAGGTCCAGAAGGGACTCACATTCAGATGGGCCTTTTCCAATACTTTTTCTAATAGGGGTGGGCAGTAGTCTCTCTTAGAGTGTGGGTTGAGTTCAAGAAAATTCAGAGGTGGGTTCTCAGTATTTTGTTTGGTTCATGTTAATGATCAGTGAGGCTGCTGTTGACATTGGATTCTGTAGGATGAATGGCAATTCTAGCTTGTCATCCATTGCTACCAGAGCCCTTGTGTGTAGGGGGGTATCTCAGCAGAGGAAGATCAACATCAGAATTTTAAACATTAAGAGGTCTGTAATTACGATCCATATTTATCTGATTCATTTTAGGGGGAAAGAGAAATATCAAGATAGAAAGCTTTGTTGTATTTCTTGCCATTTGACCTGAATGCGGGAACAGCTGTTGAGATGCATTCTGTGTACAGAAGGGACCTCTCTACTTATCTCTGCCCTGTTTGCTTTCCTCTGTGCCACCTCCTTCCCCCCAATTTCTTCTTTTCCCTCTTCCTATCCCTGTCTTTTCTTTCTTTATATTAATTAAAGCCCTTGCTCTCCTCATCCATGATGCAATTCCTGACATGCGGAAGAATACATAGTTCTGAAGACTTGCATGTACATTCTCGCGTAGACCACTCCGAGTAGGCTCCTTGTGTGAGGAAATTTCAGTTCGCATCAAGACATCCGAAATATAAGAAAGGACAACTCTTCACTGTGTGCACAAGTTCTTTTCTTTTTCCCATTTGGTGCTATCACGTTTTTGAGCGCTTACACAGACCAGGTAACGTTTCTACAACTCTGACACTTCTCTAGTCCTACTGAATTTTTGCTTTCAGATAAATAGGGTTAAACGAAGTTACTGAGGCTAGTTTTGAACACACTTTATAGCTCAGGCAAATGTACAGTTGTCCTTTTTCTGCCTCCTGAGTAGCTGGGATTATGGACCTTTATCACCAGATCTGGCCACTGTGCATTAGGTCTATGAAGGACATAGACCATACATATTACATTTCTCAGTTCCTTGTGCCTTTTCTAATGTCTTCCAAAATTTCACATACACAGAAGGAAAAATAAAGGCAAATAAATACATAAAGTCCTTGTTCCTCAGGAATTCCTGTTTCCCACCCAGGTCGTTGCTACCTCCATGAGTGAATGAGCTGTCAGATCATTCGCATGGATCATGTGAAAGCCCTAATCCCACCAGCCAGCAACATGGGAATCACATTTCGAATTTATTTTTCAATGTGGCTTTGATGAAGTCAGATGATATGAATGGGTTCCTCTAGTTTGATGTGGAAACCTCCACAAAGAGAGGGACCCAGGGTAAAATGTTTTAGTAAGTAGCTTTGTTAATTTGAGAATTGTGTTCTTTTCGAGATACCAAACAGAGGGAGAAAGGTTGGGATATCCACACACAGACTTCATTCACCAAAGGAGAAAGAATCCCAGTGGGGCTACATAAGCAGGTGAAGTCTCATTGGTGTTCACCACTAGAGTGTCTTGTGATCAGTGTACCTTCCCTTGAGGATAAACATATAATCCCTTGTTTGGTGGTGATGGAAACCAACACAGGCCCAGGCAACCTGCTAAGTGCCCTGTCCTGGAATGAGCAGAGTATTGTGGGGCTTCGGGATCTTCAGTGATGTCCAAAGGTACCCTGTGATCGAGTCTGCCAATCTGATCAGAGAACATTTGTCCTTAGAGACCTGTTTAATGTCACTGCATTCAACAGAAACTACTGAGAAAGTCAGTGCTCAACACAGCTAAAATGCCATCACCTTGTACACAGCAGCCCCTGTATATGCCTGATAGGATTCTGGTCTGTTGGCTCTTCCTTATATCCCATTTGATCAGTGTGGATATGCCTTTTTTTTTTTTTCACGAGAAAAAGCTGCTGTTATAAGAGATGATAGCACTTCCCAGAAAGGAAACAGATTGTACTTCTTTGCCAGCTGTCCCTCCTGGCAGCAACGGTTCACACTGCTCTGACCTTCAGAGTATTTTCTCCATCCATCTCCTTCCACACTGTTGGTCTGACGTATAGATCAACCAGGCTCTGATAGGGGAAGGAAGAAGCAAAGGGGCAGTGTGGGAAATCAAAACAGAGGAATCTATACATTGAGGAGATTCTATTGAAAAGTCATTTCAACCTGACTCCAACAAGTCTCATTGGAGCTGGATTAGGACTGTGATTTTATTTCCTTCTGATGATGGACAAGTTAGAGCAGGCAGGTCTTAGTGGCCCCGCAGGAAACGTGAGGTCATGGTCTCTGCTTCCTACCTACAGAAGCGTGTGCTTGGACATTACCGAGCGTTGAAAGAGCATGCCAATCCTCTTAATCCTTATTTCCGAGATACTTAGACACCATGAGCAGTTTATATTTGCTATTTGAGCAAATTACTTTCTTTTCTAAGATCATTGTTTTTCAATCAAGCTTATATTGGTCACTCATCCTTTGCTATGATAAAATATCACCATCAAGACAACTTATAAAAGAATGAATTTGTTTCAGCTTACAGTCCTAAGTTAGATTACAGCATAGTGGTGGGGTCAGCATGGCAGCAAGCATCAGGTCTGGTTACTGGAGCAGGAATCTAAGAGTTCATACCCTCAACCATAACTGCAAATCAAAGAGAGAAAAAAAAAAACCCCTGAATGTTGGTGAGGGTTTTTACTTCTAAAGCCTGATTCCAGTGACATATTTCCTCTAGCAAGGCCATACGTTCTAAACCTCCTCATACAGTGGCAACATCTGGGATCACATGTTCAAAAGTCAGAGCCTATAGGTAATAATTCTCCTTCAGCCTCCCAGTTCTTGGGGGTCCATTGTTACAACTGTTGGATAGACAGATTGAGAGACACAAAGGTCTCTTTGGAATATTGTCATTACTGTTAGGCTATTTACAACCTTGTCACCTCCTTCCAAAGACCACTATCCTCAAGTGGTACCACATGAAGTTTATATTTTAACCTGTGAATTTGGGATAAACACAAGCATTCAGTTCCCAATAAGGAAATACCAAGGCACTGTCCTCTAATTTTAGGGCATTAGTCTGTATCTTACTTACCCTAGAGTTTTTCTTGGTCACTAAGGAAAACACATTTAAAATGCTTTGGAAACTAAGTATGTCTTGTAGATATTATTATGAATAGTAGCCATTGATTTGCATGAACTTTAACATTGTTTATCTTTTAATAATTACATGCTTTTTCACTCAGAAGTTTATGTGGTAAGCATTTATAGGCATGTACCTATTTCATGCACACGATCCTGCAGCATGGATGCACACAGGGTCTCTTAACCTTACTGTTTACTTGAATTAAATTTAGCATTGAAATATTATTTATGGGTTATGAATTAGAACACACTGAAGCTCCGACATAACGTGGTTTGTTAAAGCGCTTGACAGCAGTACAATTAGAATGTGACATTTGCCTAAAATTCCAGACAGAATATTCCTCAGATCAAACAAGACATGGCATCATTTGAAGGAGGGTAAAAGGATGCTGTGACATTAAGGAGTCTTTGTAGAAAGACCTCATCTAAACCAGGCGATGGTGGCACATGTCCTTAATTCCAGCACTTGGGAGGCAGAGGCAGGCCGATCTTTATGAATTCGAGACCAGCCTGGTCTACAAGAGCTAGTTCCAGGACTGGCTCCAAACTACAGAGAAACCTTGTCTCAAAAAACAAAACAAAACAAAACAAAAACAAACAACAACAAATGATCTCAACTAGCTGACTCATCATACTTTGTTTCCTGGATGGAGGTGAAAAGATTCATAGAACTGACCTGTGATCAGGTGAGGAATTTTGCAGGCACTAACTTCCTGATGGGAATACTGCTTACAGCAAGAGTTACTTTGTCAAAGTCATGAGGTATATAAGACATTGAACAAGGTTCTCTTGAGAGACAGTTTACTCCAGTGAACACAGATGTTCCCATGGCAGGGACTCATTCACTTGTGATCTTAAGCTTTGGAAACTTGAATGCGGGTTTGAGTCATAGTATCCCCAAGGCCAGAAAGAAACCTGATGGAACTGTGTTTTCAGGATAGTTTGGAAGTTCATGGCCTCCTACTGATTTCCCTCCTGTTTGCAGAGAGCAGCAGCCTGCATTCAGCCTGTGTCCATGAGAGTGCCGTGCATAGTCGAGTCTTCCAGATCTTATACAGGAATGAAGAAGTTCCCGTAAATGATGCCATGCTCTTCCGGGCTCATTTGCTCTTAGATGGTGAGAGGGTAAGTCTTGATCTCCTGCCAGTCGCAAGAGGTTTTCTTTCCCGACTAACCATTCCCTTTCATTGCTGGATTTAGGGTGAGTGAAGAAGCTGCAGATTGATTCCGAGATCTGGTAAGAATTTATGGTTCCCATATTCGCCTGTTTCTGACGGCTTTCTCTCCTCTTCTTCTCATCACACACGTGATCATTCCATGAAGTCTTGGTCATTTTCTCTCGCTCCTCCCTGCTCTAGTGTACCTTTGCTCAGGCATATTGTCCAGGAAACCCTCAGCAGATGGTTTGCATTATCTGCTCTTTACATACTTGGGGTTAGGATAAGACACAGAAGTGAAGAAGACTTTGAACTCTGTTGACTTCAAGGGGTTAATGGCTCAGTGAGCGAACAAATTTATAAACATGTGTCTTGCTTAGCAAAACTGGCCATAGTTGGGAGGAAATCAAGTGGCTCCATGAATGGAGAAAGAATTTTGGGAATGACCAAGCTAGAGATAGAACTAATTCACAGAGGAGTATCCTTTAAAAAGCATGCACTGGATTGAGTCCATTAGACAGAGAAAGAGGGAGAACCCTTTCCTGTAGAGAGGGGAGAAGCCAGACGAAGTTTAGAGGCCTTGGCACATTGTTCGCTTGGATTGGAGCTTGAATAAAATATTTTCATTCACTAAATGAATGTATTTTGAAGGCCTCCAGTATATTGTTCTTGTTCCCCCAGTCAATAGCTTGAATCTTTGTTCCCGCATTCTGGCTGTTTATTTCACAATGGAGGCATGGATGACGTGAAGAATGCCTCTACTTTAAACAAACTTACGAGCACTTCTGCTCACCCCTGGTCCTTGCTATACATCAGACTCCCATTGAGTACCTGATAACTGTTCCTGTACTCCAGTTATTGGCTTCCTGTACACATCCTTTGTGATCTGTGTAGTGAGGCTGGTCCTGATTTGCTACTCTTTCCTTATTCATTAAATCAAGCGTCTCTCCAGCCAAGGCTTTCTAAGCACTAAGTCTGTACTGTATGCTGGGGAGAAAGTAGCACATGGGAGACTCCGCTAGGAGTTTTGGCACTACCATTTACCTATTAGATAGATGTATTGGCTCTCTAGGCATTATTCCACTTCAATTGCATCATATTTTCTTGCACTCAACAGTTTAGAGCCTCTCAGTTTCAACCTTGTCAGTTACGACATAAAATAGAAAGTGTTTCTTAGGACATATTGTTTTTTCTGCATGTCTACTTGCTTTTCTCTCTAAGTTAATATGTATTATTGTCTTATGGATAATCCATATTATAGCAAGAAATGTTTCAACTAATCATCATTTCCAGAGCTAAAATGAATAAGACCTATCTGAAAAATTACATTTGTGATGAACTTATGAACAAACTAATTCTTTTTGAATGCATATTAGTTGATTTATGGAAATCAAACTGCTACTTATAACCTGGGCACATAATGTATTCGTAGATGCAGGTAGCAATATGATGCACTACACACGTTTGAAAGATGGGCGACTAGCCAACAAGCATGTTATGGAAGAGAAGTACAACTGAGGCTTGCTTTGTAGGGCACAGTAGATTGCATAGACAATGGACTGTTCCAAATGGATTAAAGGCCTCAACATAAAGCCAGCCACACTGAACCTGATTGAAGACTAAGTGGGAAGTACACTTGGATGCATTGGCATGGAGACGACTTCCTAAATATAATCCCAGCAGCACAGACACAGAGAGAAGCAATTAATAAATGGGACCTCCTGAAACTAGAAAGCTTCTGTAAATCAAAGGACATGATTAACAAGACAAAATGACAGCCTAAGAGGGAAAAGATCTTCACCAATCCCACATCAGACAGAGGTCTGATCTCCTAAATATACAAAGAACTCAAAAAATTGTCCATCAAAAGAACAAATAATCCAATAAAAAAATGGAGTACAGACCTAAACAGAGAACTAAGGAAATGCTCAACATCCTTAGTCATCAGAGAAATGCAAATCAAAAAAAACTCTGAGATTCTATCTTACACCTGTAAGAATGGCCAAGATCACAAACACTGAGGACAACTTATGCTAGAGAGGTTGTCGGGAAAAGAGAACACTTCTGCATTGCTGGTGGAAATGCAAGCTGGTACAACCCCTTTGGAGGTCAGTGTGGCAATTTTTCAGAAAATTAGGAAGCAACCTTCTTCAAGACCCAGCAATACTACTTTTGGGTATATATCCAAAGGATGCTCAATTGTGTCACAAGGACATGTGCTCAACTATGTTCATAGCAACATTGTTTGTCATAGCCAGAACCTGGAAACAACCTAAATGCCCCTTGACTGAAGAATGCATAAGGAAAATGTGGTACATTTTCTGCTGTGGTACAGCAGAAAAAAATAATGACATCTTGAAATTTGCAGGCAAATGGATGGAGCTAGAAAATATAATTTTGAGTGAGGTAACCCAGACCCAGAAAGACAATTATCACATGTACTCACTTATAATTTTTTTAACATAAAACAAAGAAAACCAGCCTACAAGTCACAATCCTGGAGAATCTAGACAACAATGAGGACCCCAAGAGAGTTGTACATGAATCTAATCTACTTAGGAAGTAGAAAAAGACAAGATCTCCTGAGCAAATTGGGAGCGTGGAGACCTTGGGAGAGGGATGACAGGGAGGGAGATCCAGGGAGGGGAGCAGAGAAAAATGTAGAGCTCAATAAAAATCATTAAAAACTAACTAACTAGCTAGCTAGCTAGATAACTAACTAACTAACTAACTAACTAACTATCTAACTAACTAACAGAGTATGTCATATTACTGGAGACACAAGTGATAGTCCAATGTAGTTGAGGGAAGCAAATCTTCTGTTGAATAGCGATAGGAACTGGATCTAACCATCTTATCCATCCACTGATCTTATCAGCAATAACATTTCTTATTTGTTAGATTAATTCCACTGGGTCTTTTGCTGAGTGCTTTGTAATATCTCATTGTAGTGATGGGTTTTCTAAACTCCATTTGATGAATAAGGATGCAGAGATTTAGAGCTAAGATTTGTCTCCATCACATCACTAGGGTGTGGTAAAGACAGGGTTTAAATAAGGAATTTAAGGCATGTATTCCCAAAAAGCATGCAGGGCCACCATGCAGATGTGGTGGGAGAAGGGGATCCTCAAACTCAGTAGTAAAGTAAAAATAACAAAAACCATAATGCATTGCATTATTTGAAATTGGTCAACCCTTTCTGTACACTTTCTTATATAGCTACTTACTATAATGTTATAGAGTTAGTAGAATTATTTTATGAATGGAAAACAACTAGATTTAGGATTCACACTCATACATTCTGACTTTAGAAGCTGCCTCCTTAGCCTCAAGGCTGCAGTAGACCTGGGGCGGGGGAAAGGGAAGAGTCACTGTGATAAGCATATATGTGCAGGTATCTTGCAAGTATAATACGTAGGCTTCTATGAACATATATGTGTAGTTATCTTGAAAGTAAGGTTTAGCAAGGAACCAGTGAAAGTCATAATTAGGCTCAGGCTAGCTTCAATTCCCAGAGAATTGTGACCACTAAATCTGGTGCTCACATGTTCTCCGTATCCAGACAAATGATTTCTCAGAAGGTAGTAGTAGTGTTACTTCTCCAGTCTTATTTCCAGGGAACTGGTAGTGAGAGCCTGTACTCCTTTGGGTGAATACAAAGCTAGATTTTTGGTTACGCAAAAAAAATCCGTGAGTTATATATAGCATTTGAATTCAGCAAAATGTTACTGTAATATTGAGTTGAAATGTCACCCCAGCCTGCCAAGTGCTTGAACTCTAACTCCCAGACTGCCAAGCACTGACCCCCCCCCACCCCCTCAGGAAGAGTTGGGACCACTTCTACAGGGTATTTAGGGGTCATGCAGGAACAAGGAACTTGTGCATTTGGGTTTGTGTGTGCGCTCCTCTGTCTTCCCCCTGCCATGCTCCTGGCCACTCGGGAGTCCACCATCTATTAAACTCGGATATTTAATTTGCCTTAATCTGGTTAGATTGGAATTCTTCGCGCCGGGGGAGAGGCCCTGTTAGAAAATATTCTGAACAGTTAGCTTTTAAGTATTCTTTTAAAAAGTGTCATTTTTAATACCACAAAAGCCTAAAGATAAATTCTATTCCTATGTCTCTGTTTGAATTATGCTTAATTAAGAAGATATTTCCAAAGAAGCCTTTGGATAGGCAACGTCTGTCTCTGTGGGATAAGGGTATTTTTGCAAAAAAGTAACCAAAATAGGTGACTGTAGGGGAAGAGTTTTATTCCTCAGAGATGCGTTGATGCTGTCTCTCCGACTCTACACTGTTTTTGGAACCTGGAGCCCACAACCAATGAGGACTGAGGGGATTAGTGGGAACACACGGCAAGAAAATAGTCAGGGCGTTTTGCCTCGAGCAGCGGAGTACTGCCGTTGAGTGTGGTAAACCAGTGGTGTTTCCAGGATTTGCCTGATCCAAGCAGAACTAACAAATGTCAGCCCTGCCTTGCCAGTTCCAAGGGATGCTTTGCTTTTCTCCCCCAGAAGCTATAAACCCACAATACAAATATGAATGTGAAATTACCTGAATTTTCCGCATTTGAAACTTGTTCAAAACATTTTAAAAAATACTATGGGGACTAAAGCAAACATGCCTGGAGATGAATTTTGGCTTATGGGCTTCCAATTTATGAGCTCAGAACAAGCTATTGTAATCCGAAATGCTGAATGTGAAGAGGGAAAGGAAGTGGCTCACTGTGAGTTGCCGAGGAGGGCTTCAGCCAATCGGGGAGCAGACAGGAGTCTAAGCCCTGTGCCACCGGGGACAGTCCTGACACTGAATGAATCCACAGAGTCCACACAATGAAGACTGGTGCACAGTACACAATTCCCCTATAAACATGAGAAAGGAGACCCAGGGACCTCATTTTGGGGGCATATGTGGAAAGAACTCTGTCATTACATATTTTTGAACATAAAGGACATTGAAGGAAGAAGAATTTAAAATTTAACATCGATGAAAGTTGAAAGAGCTTGAGTCACCTTGGAAATCAATGACTTAACCACCCAGATTGCCAGGCTCCACCTCTTAACATGTGGGTGGTGATGTGGGTCATGTGGGGACATTTGAGTGTAAGTGGCGACTTCATGCACCTTTGGACAAGTTTTGCTGCACTGAAAGTTCGCTCCACCATCCTTCCCAGAGCAGGTGCAATGCAGTCTCTCACTCATGCCCGGAATCCATGTCAAATTCGCTTGACAATGAGGTCACATGCTTAAAAGCTTCAGCTTTATTTTCCAGGTCCTGTGATAAAAATAAGTTGACAAAAGCAAGTTCATGGAGCAGGGATTCATCCCAGCTTACATTTCAAACACAGTACATCATGGCAGGAGAGTCAAGGTTGCAGACTCTTGCAGTAGCTGGTTACCTGGCATCCACAAACAGGAAGCAGTAAGCAGGAAGCAGAATATGCAAATGGAAAAGCTCAGCCTATTTCTCCACTTCCTGTAGTTCAGGACACCTAACCAGAGAAAGTCCTGCCTAACACTTAAGATGGGTCTTCCCACATCATTTCACCAGGACTATCGCTAATTTGCATGCTCAGAGACTGAACAATCCCTCATAGATATGCCTGGAGACTTATCTCTGAGGTGATTCTATATTTCATCAAGTTGACAGTGGAGATTAAGCCTTGCAAGGATGCTTGTTTAATAATGGTTGAAAATATACATTTACCAAGCTGGCTGTGCAAATCCTTTGTGTTTTCATTTTCCATCAAATATTCCTATTCTAAGAGTTTGCTTATCTAGAACTCAATGTCTCATGCATAGATATTCTCACTATGCATCAATGGCACTTGATAGTGAGATTCTGTTTCTCTGCCTAGAGAAACAGTCGGCTACCTGCCCAATTGGATTACTAGTTGACTGCTGAACTCTCTTGGTCTTTGTCTTTCAGGTAGAAGATGCACTGAGCGAGGTCGAGTTTCAGCTCAAGGTGGACCTGCACTTTACGGACAGTGAGCAGCAGTGAGTGTCATGGACATCCTTGGTCTGTGTAGGGAGGTTTCTTTCTTCACCCCATACCTCACTCTTAGGTCTTCCTCAAAGCTACAATCCTTGTAATTTCTCTAAAATGACTAGTTATTAGTAATCTCGAATGTCCCTCGGATGTTCTATTTTACCAGGAACATGGTGTAAACATATTCGTCAAGGTGTTCTAAAGGAGCAGTACTGACAGCATCACACACACACACACACACATGTGCACGCATACACACACATACACATACATATAAGTGCACATGTACATACGTACACACACACATACACACAAAAGATTTATTGGATTGAATTTTGTGGTGTGGTCCACATAGTCCAACTATGGCTGACTCGTGCTAGAGTGGACAAGAACCCAATAGTTGCTCAGTCCATGATGCTGAATGTCTCTGCAGCTCCACTCTGGTGCTGAAGGTCTTGGGGCATGGGGAGAGATCCCTGGAGAGATGCTGATCTTCAGTCTGCATTAGGATCCAAAGGAAGTTGGGAGAAGTTGGTGTGATTACCAGGGAAAGAAAGATGCAGCAAAAGAATAGATAGACTTGCCAGCAAGAGTGAGAGCAAATAGGCAAAAATCCTAGTTTCCCACTTCCATGTCCCTTTTATGTAGCTGCCTCCAGATTTAAGGTGGGTCTTCCTGCTTCAAATAAATTTATCAAGACAATCGCTCACAGGGGTGCCCAGCAGCTTGGGTTTTAACTGATTCTAGATGCTGTCAAGTTGACAGCTGTGATTTGCCATCACAGCATGTCTGCCAGAGCCTGGAAAAGTCACTCATTTGGAGCCAGGCTTCTCAGGTTCTGCACACAGACAACTGTTGGCGTCTTGCCTTATTAATTGGTATCTTTTACTTAAAGCAATTTTTTCTTTGTGGTACTGACTTGGGGGTTTTAGAGTAATGTCTGCATGTACGAGATAACCAAAACCCCCTTCAAATCATCCTTCCTTGTTGGTTTTCCATGCGTTCATACTGAACATCTGCTATTGTCCTTCAACTCTCTGTGAACTGAAAATCTATTTATGTAAAACTTGCCAAGGAAATAATCAGGGAGGCGTTCTCTTTCCTTTGTTTAACTGCTTCCTTCAAGTGTGCTCCGTGCGTTCTTCCCTCTATCCTGGGCTGTGCCATTCACCTCTTAAGCCTTTCCACATTCTTTCAGGAATTACATAAACAATCTTTCTCTGAGGTATTAAAAAGTGTGACACGAAAACCTTGAAACGCTCATCTCCCTTAAGGTTTATTTCCCACTCAATCGAGCCTTTTAAGCACTCATCTCATTGAAGGTCTATTTCCACTCAGTCAGGAGGTTCTCCAAATCCAAAAGGGGAGATGGAGGCTTTGTATTCCTTTCTTAGCTTGGTTTGCTCCTACCTCTGTAGCTTGTAGATCAGACACGATGAGTAAGGAAGATACAGTAAAAGACTGGAGAGCTATTTGAGTGCAGATGAGCAGTGCCCTTTCTAGGGTAAATGTTCGGTCCTTATTAGGGTTCTTGTGACTTACTTGTTGGCATGACTACTATGCACAGCTCCTCCCCAATTCTGCCCCATCCCTGAAGTCTGTTGATAGACTTGAGCCTCTTGTGGCCACTCACGACTTCTAGGAAAATATTTGTGGTCAATCCTTTCCATAGAATCCACATGTGGTCCATGGGGGATGTGTAAAGTTATTTTGATTCCCTTTCTAAAATTGTGAGAGTTTTTCCGTACAGATTGCTTTCCCATCAATGCTATTCAAACCCAGCTATTACCCAGAGAGATACTGCAGGATAAATCAGGCAGCAGAACTCTACATCCACAGCTCTAAGGTGCAGAAGGCGATTACCCTTCAGAACTTTTTTTTTGTTTTAGTGTAAAAAGGGATGATCTTCCTTTCTTCTCTATCCTATTAGAAGGATTTTCCATTCTCTTGGATAGCTAGGATCAACATAATAAAAATGACGACACTACCAAAAGCAATCTATAGATTCAATGCAATCCCCCATCAAAATCTCAACACGATTCTTCACAGACCTTGAAAGAACAATACTCAACTTCATATGGAGAAACAAAAAACCTAGGATAGCCAAAACAATCCTGTACAATAAAGGAACTTCCAGAGGTGTCACAATCCCTGACCTCAAGCTCTATTATAAAGCTACAGTGATGAAAACAGCTTGGTATTGGCATAAAAACAAACAGGTTGACCAATGGAATCAAATCAAAGACCTGGGGTATTAATCCACATACCTATGAACCCCTGATTTTTGACATAGAAGCTAAAATTATACAATGGATAAAAGAAATTTGCATCTTCAACAAATGGTGCTGGCATAACTGGATGTCAACATGTAAAAGAATGCAAATAGATCCATATCTACCATCATGCACAAAATTCAAGTCCAAATGGATTAAAGACCTCAATATCCAACCACACTGAACACGATAAAAGAGGAAGTACCCTTCAATCCATGGACACTAGAGACCACTTTCTAAACCCCGCTTCAATTTGAAAAACAGGAACTGGAGGTTGCGTGGGTACTAAGAGTGGTAGAATCGGGGCTAATGTGGCAGGCTTGGTTTTTCTCTCTTGGCTTCTTCTCCGTAAGGATGCTGTCCATTTCAGAACACCGAAAAGTGTTATCTTCTCTCCTTATATCTTCTGACGGAGGCTTGGGTTGTTCCCCTTGCCAGGAGTCAATGTCTAAGTGAGCTCAAAGCAATACTGTGCAGAAGCAGCACAGAGGAGAGCCAGAGACTGCTGGTCTGGCGTGGCAGGTTTTTCTCATGACTGGGAACAAGTTAAATAAGTCACATTAGTTTCACTTGTTCTTTTATGAGTGGAATGAGATTAGCAAGCATGTTATATGCTTGTCATACAGGGGAATGGAGAAAGTCCAGTCCACAGTTAAGTTTCAGATCATTGTTGTCCATATTAAAGTGAGCTTGAAGGCTGACAGTTGCTGACACCTACAGCTTGGATTCTCTACCTTTCTTTATCTGGGCTCTTCCTGGTAAAAGCAAAGAATGTGTTACATATAGTCACAATGGGCACCAGGGGTCCACTAGTTGGTGAAACCTTAACTTCAAACAGCAAAGACCACCAGGAAAGACTGATACTGGGTCGGGCTGTGGGAGCCTTCATTGTCTCCCTTCCTCTCTGTAATCTATTTGTTTATTCATGGAGGAAGAAGAGATCATCTTTGTTGTGTTCCTGGAAGATGCTCATAGTGGCTTTCCTCAAGTTCTGGCTCTCTGCAACCTACAGAGCCACAGAGACCGATTTTCAGCAATTATGACTAGATAAACATTATTTTCTTTTTTTATATCTTCTGGGTTTGTCTGTCTGTGACCTGTATCTTTGGATTGGGTATGTATTGATTACAAAGTGCTAGAGCAAAGAAAAGGGACCACTTCCTGAAACTGAACAGACTGCTTCAGCATCATGTTCTGGGTCTTTGTCTATTCAGTCAATCAGCTGACATTTTCATAACCATGGGCTTGATCACCTTCTCCATCATGTCTGTACCAGTGAGATGCCAGAGATGTAGACATGAATTAGTCACCGCTCCTGCCCTTGGGGGCTAGAGATCCCACACAATTCACAACCTCACAAAATATGCTCAGCATTTTAAGAGCAGTGTTCTTCCTTTGGGGTGAAAAAGAGGGGAAAGTATCCAAGAGATTTGCAGTCATGAGAGGAGCCTTGGGAAGATATGGTCATCTTTACTGTCTCTGACATTCAGGTTTACCTTCCGCGACAGAAAAACTGAGACCCAGAGTTGTTCTGTAGCTTTCATTCTTCATTTGCCAATTGTGGGACAAGTTCTTTCAGCCAGGCCGCATATTGCAGGATTGAGTAAGATGACGAGACTATGAGGCGGAGCTACTTGAGTGACAGCATGACTAACCAACCACGCTCATATGAGCTCACTCACTTGCCTTCCAGGCTGAGAGATGTGACCGGAACACCGATGATCAGCAGTCGTACCCTTGGCCTGCACTTTCACCCCCGGAGGGGTCTGCACCACCAAGTCCCTGTCATGTTTGACTACTTCCACCTGTCGGTGATCTCTGTGACCATCCACGCTGCCCTGGTGGCTTTGCAGCAACCTTTGATCAGGTATGAAGTTAGAGGTTGCCCTAATTTTCATCCCATGCATCACGAAGAGCCATGGCTTGTCGTAAGTGTTCAGCACACAGCAGAGAAGGTGGTCCATGGCTGTTGACTTTAGCTTGGGCCTTCAGCTGGCTCACAGAAGTAGTAGGTGAAAGTCTGTGGGAGCCTTAGCATCAGAGAGGACATTGGGGGATTTTGGGGGGGGGATAATGTGTAAACTTGTCTCACACCTCACAGATTTGGTTTCTTCCCTTGGCCTCACTTGTCTCTAGCTGTGCCTTGAGAAGTTCCTTGTGTTTCTGAGCTATATAATCCCTGTGTGTAAAATAAGAACACCAACATCTATATAAAACTTTTTGGAATTTTTAAACTCATTTGATATTTCTGGGTATCTATAAGGTTTCCAGCACTTTGTTATTTAATATTCAATTTAAGCTTAAATAATTCGTTCCTTGACACCTTCATATATGTAGAAAATGCACATTATTCTTACTCCCACCTTTTTCCTCGCCATCTCACTCCTATCAACCTCCTTTCTTCCTTGCAAGTTCCGTTAATACAATCATGTCTTTTGTTATTTTGTGACCCACTGAGTTTAATGCGGGCCATTCGTGGAACCTTTTAGTGAATCCCAGTGGAGGCCAGTTTAGTACATAACAAGTGTGCAAATCTCTTCCTCCCCCCAACCACTGTTTGTTCAGATGCAGGTCTGCTTGTGAGACAGTTTGTCTTTGCCCTGCATTGCCTCACCCTACAGCACCTCCAAGGTGCAGAGGAGATTAGTTCTACAAGGGAAGGGAGAGAGCTCTTAAGAGTGATTGTAGTGGGCCATGCATGGCTATCCATCATGGTCCCAGGATGGCTGAATATGTCCATTCAGATAATTTTAAACAGGGAGAGTAAACAGTTGCACATGTGTGCAGTGAGGTATTTGGGGTATATTCTTGTAACCCAGAGGAAGGAAAATTGTCCAGTTTCTGTGTTCTAGACAGTTTCTATGAGTTTGCATGCAGGTGTGAGAGAAAAAGCAGAATCCTTGCTGATTTCTATGTCCATAACCTAAAAGGTCTGCTGTCTGTTAGGGTCTGGGAATAGAAAATGAGATATGATTTCTTCCCTGACCCAGTTTTATTCATCTGTGGATGGCTTTTCTGGGTGCTACTGGCCAACTGGGTCATTTCTGATTCTGAATGAGACTAGAAGAGCTACTGGATATGTGTTGAGTAACTAGAATGGAAAGCATTGCCCAGCAAGAGAGTAAGTGTGGCTATTGGCTAAGGTGAGGTGATTTGTGAAGGTAGAACTGGATTTCATGGCACATGTTTAAAGAAGTGTTAGCATTTAGCTATGGAAAAGCCTGCACAGGAATTAATTCAGAGCACATAGCAAGGAGAAGAGAGAATGGGGAAGGAAGAGGGACAGACAGTTGGTAAGCAGCAGCTCTGAGCCTGGAGCTGAGAGCCAATGTCAAATAGTTTGTGGCCTGTAACTGACTGTGCCTAATGTTCTTCTCCCCAAGCTTTGCCAAGCTCTTTGATTGAAGCTGTTCCTACACTGAAGGTCCTTGGTTGAGGGGAAAAAAGGAACAAGGACCAGGGGTCTATGGTTTTCATTCTTCTTCACTTCTAATGGATGTCTATGGAGGGGGGGGGCTACTGTGATCTAGCAGAAGCATCAGAATCCACACACAGTGATTTTGGAAGGGTTCTTTGAAGCATGATTTATAAAAACTCAGGGTTAGAAATTGGGGTTCAATCTGAAGACCAGAAAAGCAAAGGAACCAGCCTCTGACTCTTACCTCAAACTCAGTCCAAAAATGGTGATCCTGCCTTTAGTTACAGGGATTAAAAGTGTGTGTTACCATTGCCTGGTCTGCAAGGCTGACCAATAGGACTCTTTTACTCTTTGAACGTCAGGCAAGATTTATTTATTAAAATGCAAATGAAATATCACTACAACCTCAGAACAGACCTCTTCTTCAGATAGCTGAGTCCAGTGGGTTGAGCTTCTATGTGTGTGTTGAATTATGTAGGGTGAGTGTTATAGCAGAATGTTAGAAAAACATTACAAGGTAGGAACAGGGGAAAGCAACCATGACCTTGGGAAGCTGCAACAGAAGTAGAATCTAGAAAGCAGAAGAGTTCAGGTTTCCTGCAGAGCATGTTCCCAGCTGGGTGATTCCCTCTGATCAAGGATACTTCAGTGTATGGCTCAGTGTGGGATCTGTATGCCAAGGGTAAGACAGAGCAGGTATGCCCTGAGATCAGTGTAGACTGTTCATCTGGAGGCCAGGCAGCAACTCAGATGGGAAAGGAAGTAACCCTTCTGGGGGTTCTGGGTCCTAGAGAGTAAACTATGCCCATGCAGCTAGAGTTAGGAACATCTGGCTGCTAATTTCCTCCATTTACTTTCTAGGGGATCTTTGGATAGTTGATCTCATGTCTTTGGGTGCCTGTTTCACCATACACACACACACACACACACACACGTAAACAAATATTTTCGTGATAATAAACCGATAGATATTATGACTGTACATAACAAAAAATGTGTAGACTGTCTCACATGATGAACATGTGTGTAATAACGGCTCCAGAAGCCATTCTAGGAATATGGAAACTAGCAATTCTGAGATGTATGTATTGTACCTCTGGCTGTTAAGAGACTCAGAGTTTAGAAGAAATCCAGGTAATAAGCTTCCAAACTGAGGGATGTGCAAAGTACTGGCAAGGCCTGGGTAAGGTAGGAGATTGAAAAATGGGCATCAGGACTGGGTAGCCCCCAGTGCCAAATCTGAGATTCTACTTTCTAACTCTGTACACTTGAGCATCCAGAATTCAGGTTCAGTTAGCAGGAGACAGTTGGAAAGACTCAATGACAGCACACGGGAAGCCCTTGGGTATGCATGCGTCCAGGAGATTAATTTTTGTAAAGCACCCACCATATTCTGGGCCACCCATTTGGCACTGATAAACTCCTGACAAATGGCAGGAAGCTTTCTGCACAGGGATGTGCACCTCTCCTTGTGACTCAGAGGGAAACTTTACAGAAGACATGGCACTACCTAGGGGACAAGAGTGTGACAGTGAAAATTGAATTTGGGAAGGTAAATTGGAGTCAGATTTTGGCAGTGTAATTAATGATACATCCAGGGGTTGGACCCAAATAGTTGAGTATATGGAGGCACTGAAGGCTTATGCCTCAAAGAATCCTCAAGATGCCCCCCCTCAAGTTTTGTCAGGCAGGGGGGTCACTAGTGCAGGCAGGAGGACAACCTAGATGTCCAAAGACTTCCCAGAATCTGATATCACCTTTTGGCTCTAATGTTGCTAGGGACTCTGATGCTATCTTACCGTGGGTTTGGAACCAGGATGTCTTAGCAGAAAGTTTAACCTTTCGGTAGGAGCAGACTCGGCAAGTTTGTCGGCAGCAGCCTTCCAGATGGGAGCAGGCACAGCTGCTGAAGAGTTAAACTTCACAGATGGGGTAAAAATAGAACCGCCTTCCACTCTCTGGGTTTTGCAAGAAGAATTTCTGTCTTGACACATGGTACCTTGGAACAAAGGGAACCCTTTAAGCTTGTGGGAAATACCTGTCAAATAGGGTAAGCACCAGCTTTTCCAGAAAAGCACGCTCTTAGGATCAGTTAGGTCCAACACGGATGCAGCGGCTGTGAAACTAAAATCTCACCTCAAAAGACCCTTAGCCATTGCAGGGAAAGACCAAAGAAAATCTAGTTTTTATTCTTCAAATAGGTAAAGTCAAGTGTCTCCTTGGGGCTCCCTCTAGTAGAGATGCCAACTAAAAGCCATAATTAAATAGCAAGTATTTTCGTCCTTTGTTGGCAGATATCCCAGGGAAGGGGTCATGGTTCCTTATGTACACACACTATTTTCTTCTAGAATGTTCCTACCAGTACCTTCTGGCCATATGGTAAATTCGCTTTATCTCTCAGTCCAATACAAATCCAAAGGCAGATATGGTGAGGCACTCAGGAAGTTGGGGCAGGAGGACCAGGACCTTGGCCAAGCTGGTATATATAAAAGCCTGTCTCAAAACAAAACAAATTCAAATACTATCAGTATTCTATAATACAATTGTCCCTCAGTAAGCCAGGGCATCCTCAGGTAGCTAAATACCCAGAATTTCAAGGCACATATATTAAATTATAGGTTTTCCTCTAATCTATGTGCGTTCTACACCTACTTGCTTTATGTTACCCCCAAATTACTTATGATGACATTGAAGTTAAAACTGGGGAACTAAATCTGATTGGAATCCCATGAGCCAATAAACATGCAGTTATGTAGTTAGTGACTGAGTGACTTTGATCCAGTTAGATTCTCAAGAATACTTACTAGCAAATTTTATTCAGTGTCATTATTTGCTAGACCTTACACTTAAAAAACTAACTTTTGCAACTGTCAGGAGTCTCCATGATAGCCCATTGCCTAAGTGCATTAATCCTTCTGACAGGAGATGCCATAGGAGGTTCAAATCCAGCCCCAGGTTCTATTATGTTGGTGGTGCCATTGGTTAGAAACTAGCTCGTATAAGTTCCGCATTGCTGTGGCTGTCTACTGTGCCACACCACTTCTGTGTACTCAGCCCTTTCATCCAACTCACTTCGTAAACTTCTCCTCTATGTTTATTGGCTGCTGTGTGTCCCTATGACGCTCCAATAGAGACTGATGGATTTGAGTCCCTTCTGGCCAATGTGTGCTTAAGGTGAAAGTGACACATTACCACTTCGCCACTCTAACTCCCCATGCGTTCTCTGATTTGTGGCATTAAACTAATAATATTTGGATAAGTGAATTCAATAAAAATGTAACCTTAACTTTATTTCTCTGCCACTATTGCTACCAGAAGCGTGAGTTCCTTGTCTGAAGTCTGCCTCACTTATCACAAACACCCAGGGCAAAGATGGTGACATCTGAGGACATTCATGGTAGGGACTTTTTTTTTGCCACGAGAGACTATTAGTCTCTTTGTGCATGCTTAGGGATGACCAATTGGTATTGGAAAAGCTATCAGGTGGCTTGTCCCTGCAGAGGAATGATTTTTTTTTACCCCATTAGTCCATTAGTTGCCTGAAGCTCTTCATTTTGGGTTAGGATCTTGTGAAATTTCACAGTGGCGTGGCAACTGGTGTACTTACAGTGAAAGTCTTGTTTAGGCAGCTGTATTTTTGAGATTTCATGCATGCAGCTTCCCTGTTATATATAGAAGACACGATCTCATATACCATCCTGAATACATAAAATCTCATCTGAGTCAGTAGAGTTTTATAGATGATATTTGAAGGAAAGGGAAAAGAGTGTAAGCAGTTTTATTCTGATTTATTATCGGAGGAGAATCACAAAGGTTAATGGAGAAGGACTGACCATATACCTAAATATCATAAGGCCACACAATCTCATCATATTCCTAAATCTCCTTTGAGTCTAAGATTGATCATGGCCAGATGACCTGCCAAATGACGTTTATAATGAATCGGATTGGACCAAAAAAAGTGTTTTTTTCCTTCTCTTGATGAGATTACAGCATTCCCAGATAACATAGATATAGGAATACTTTATTGATTATAGCAGTCTAGGACATATCACAGGATTCTTGCATGGATCATGGAGATGAACATAGTTTTATGTCTTCCACAGAAAGGGAAGTAGAAGCAAGGAGGGACTAAGGCAGGAAAGAGCTCATGCAAGGCAATGAACTCCATAAGGGCAGAAGTAGATCTCAAGATCATGATGAACTTGGGGGTGTCTTTTACTCTGGTCAGGAGTTCCTTCTATCTGCCTCCCAGGAAGATGATTCACTAGGACATACCCTCAATAACTTCTAAGTCAGAGGACATGCAGGTGTTGGGATACCTCTCTGTACCTCTACTGACGTGCACATCCCAGAATCCTCATCCATTAGATAGCATTGGAAACACAACATCCAGACCCTCCTGCTGGAACACCACTTAAATCTGTACCACAAGCTCCTCAGTGGTAGCCCTGAGGGAGCTGATTTAACACACAGTGGCTTACTCACCTCCTGCTTTCTCCCTTTCATTACAGTTTCACTCGCCCAGGAAGAGGCTCCTGGCTAGGGAAAGGTGGTCTAGACACAGGACCAGAACAGCCCACTATTTCTCTGGAAAACTTGGTATTTGGAGCTGGATACTGCAAGCCGACTTCCTCAGAGGTAATGTGTGCATGGGAGCCATGACCCCATGACCTGCAATTCTCACCTTGAAAGAGTGTGTCCTATGAGGTTCCTTATTCTATCAAATGTTTCTTTAGGGCCATCTTTGTTAATTTCTTTCAAGGTCCATTCATCCTTTGACATTTCACTAATCATGTTTTCTGAGCATCAAGCTCTGTAACAGACTTAGTGAGTATTCTTCTCCTGTGGTCCCTCTTACTTCTAGTCCTTTTGGAGATAAGAGCTCTCTAGAACCTAGGTGGTGGTACTACTGTGAGGTTGTTTCCTTCACACTATGTGGTGATATTGAATGTCTGTTGGTACTGGGTCATCCCTGCCTTCAAAACCTGGATCCAACTCTTCAATCTCTCTGCGTTTCCCTCTCCCCACCTCTAGAGCAACATCAGCAAGAACCACTAATCTCATGTATAGTTATGTACACCCAATATTGTCCCAAATTAAAGTTCTTTGGCTCACACATGGTCTTTAGGTGCTGTTTAATAAATCCATATGACTACCTCTCCATTCCCTTTGTTTCTTCCCAAGAAGGAACCGACTTTTCTTCTTTCCTCACTGCCTGTATTGCTCTTTAACACATGAGGCATTTTGTTAGTGTATTACTTGTTAGTGTATTCTTCAGAAATATCCAGCTAGTATTACTCAGGATTGCCCAGAGACATAGAACCAATAGGAACGATTTCTGCATTGTTGTTGTGAATTGACTCACAAGATTCTGGACGCTGAGAAAGCTGCAAATCTGCTTCACCACGCTGGAGACCAAGAAGAGTTGATGGCAGAGTTCTAGGCCAAGTCGAATGCCAGAAGCTGAATAACATTGTCACTTATGAAGGACTACTGTTTGCTTTGTTATAGTCAGAAACTCAGTGGATTGGCCCAGCTGGGTTACATGGAGAGGCAGATCTCTTTCCCTCAGCAAGGTCTTTTGCTCAGTTCAAACAGTTCTCAGAGACACCCATCCTGGCAGCCACAACAGTGTTTAACCAAACATCTAGTCAACCCATGACCCAGGCAGGTAGACACAAGAAATGTATCGAGTTTAAGCAAAAGCAGGTATGTGAAATACTGCCTGGCCAGTTCTGTCTCCTTGTGCTACAGAATGCTCTTTGGCCATTTCCTTTAGGATAGGAAGGAAAATACCCTGCTCGTCTGGATTTTCCCCGTTTGAGATCTAGTCAGGAGATCCAATGCAAATGTGAGCCTAGTCCCATCTCTATCTGCATTAAGTTGCTATGTCACATGCGTTAAGTTCATGGTCCTGAGGTCTCCAAAGGGAGACCGCCACGATTTCCCTAAAGATGGGAAACTGAATCTATAGTCGGGCTTGTTCTCATGCGTGGAGCTGACTGGAGAACAATAAGAACAGAATGATTGTGCACGCTCAGTACTTCTGGTACCCACCAAGCTTCCTGGAAGTTAATGTGTTTACCTCCTACACAGAAGTCTCAAATGAGTGAGGGGAAGATGGCAAAGCTAAGAGCTTGCCAGCATAACATGGGCATTTCTCTTACCTCTCTCTGCATTGCTCATGCATTTCCGCATGGGATGTGGTCTGGGTAGAAGGCTCCCCATCCCAATGTCTACAGCAGACCCCCTCATCCCTCAGTAGATATGTGGTATGTCCCCAAGTCACCTGTCAATCCCCTTGCTACTGAGACGTTGACAACTGACTCCCACATAGGAACAGCCATTCTGTCCAGTTTCCAGTCACAGTTCAACTTTCCCTGTGCCAAGTTCTGTTCAATCACAGCACTGTATGGTGGCTTTAAGAGTCTCCCCGATAGACGTACCATCTAAAAACCTTCAGTTCAGTGTCCTGCCGAGGGAATATGGCCAGAGATATTGATGATTGGTAGCATTCACAGCAAATAATTCAAAACATTTACAACAGGTTCCTCACATGCTGAGGCCTTAGCTGATGCCGCTGAAGTATTTGAAAGTGGGCTGCTCCATTTACTAGGGAGGTTCTCTGGTGCCCAGTGTCATTGGCATCAGCCAAAAGCATTTGTACCAGCACTGCGCAAATGGTACTGTCTGATTCCCCAAATGCTTGATTGATCTCTGACTCTCCCGTGCAGGCGCTCTGCATAGTTCAGTGTAGGGACCGTCTCATTTAGCTTCTTTCTCTAGGACCTAACAAGACACCTGCCCTATAAAACCAGTACTCATGCCATGTGTGTTGAATGGAAGGGTTGAAACAACTGTGTACATCATGTTGGTGCAGAGTTGAACAGCTAGAGATTCAGGAGAGAGATCATTCACTGTAACGGACAGAAAGTAAGGGAGGAGCCATGGTGTAATAGGCCATGTTGAAAGATTACAAAGACGCCAGAACCAGCACTGGGCAGGGTAGCCAACACTGTAGTTCATTCCAACCCCTTGAATTTTTCCACATGTCCTGGCACACTGCCAGAGACTGTTGTAATGTGTCCCCTGCTGTGACAAACGCTGACAATTTGTGGAAACTTGGTGTTTACAGAAACTGGAAGTTTGTTCAGCTGTGAAATGGGTCTGCCTTTTAGGAAGATTTCAGAGATTTATATGTGTACATCCTTCATTTCACTGGGCTTGGCAGGCAGATGGTGCAGTATAGTGGGAGTTTGTTTGTTTGTTTATCCATTTTTTTCTTGGCCGTTTCTGGGCCTCTGTGTCAAAATTAAATGTGCCTGCCTTTCATATGTTCAGAGAGAAAGACTGATTTGTGAGTCTTGGCACTGGGCTTGCTCCTGAAAGTTGGCTCCGTGAGTTGTTTTAAGGGCTCCGTTCTTTTCCTGTGTATTTCCCATTTGGGTCCCATCCAATTATGCAGAGTCATTGCTGTGTGCCCACCCTGCACCTTCCCACCAGACAAGGCTGCCAAGCAGAGAATCCAATCTTAGTTCCACATTCCCTTGAGAGCATTGTATCCACATCTCAAGCAGCCCGGAACATTAGCAGGCAGGAGTGGAATCCGCACGGACTGCTGCATCAGCTGGAGGCATCAGAGACAGGTGCTCCTCTCAGTAAGACCTTCCTGGCAGAGGCCTGGGAAAAATCAGAGATTCGTGGCCGAGTGAGCTTGTTGGAATGAATAGCATCCCAGGAAAGTAAGGGGTGATGTTGCAGTGGGACCTGCCCCATTTCTCAGATCACTACAACCACTGCTTCCACCATCACCAACAGCAAACATTTCCTGTAACGGTGAGAAGTGTGATGTTGGCCATTTCAGTTCACGTCTATTGTCTTCTGCTTTCCCTTAAGATCTCATTTACAGCTGCTCCCTGACACCAGGTGAATGGAAAGTCAGATGATATATATCTCTATGTCTTCCACTTACAGAGTTCCCCATTCAGGTCTCGCTTCTCTTTAGCCCCCTGTGTGTACATGGCTCCTAGTGTTTCCTCAGAGAGCACTGGTTGAGCTGTTGTCTTGTCGTTTTAATCTCCATTTCACTGACAATTACTAGTGGTGAAACATTTCACTGAAACTTATTGCTCCCCCCCACCCGGCGCTCCATCCCCTTTGGAGGAATGTCCATGTGAACAATTTGTCTATTTGTAAATTTGCTCATCTTTGATGATTTACTTTTGTTTAGTCATAGGAGTTCCTCATACAAGTTGGATATTAGCTCGTCCTCAAATCGCAGTTGAAACTGGTTACCCCATATCTTCCATGTGTTTGCACTGCATCGCTTGTCACTTTGCAAAAAGAAGCCTTGTTTGGCACAGCCCCGCTTGTCTCTTCCCTTCTGGCTGCCATGCAGCCTCACCAATGTAAATGTCCTCAAGTTTCCTTTTACATTTCCCCCAAGGCTTTTTATAGTTTCAGGTCTGACACTACATTCCTCAATACATTTGAGATGATTATGGTGTATGGGGTGAGAAATGAGTTCAGTATGGATCCATTTTCTTATGTATGGTTGTGCCATTCAAACACTGTGTGAAAGTCCATCCTTGTCCCATTGTGTGGCCTTGGCACTATTCAGTGACAAAGCGGATTTATTTCTGAGATGTCTGCTATTTTTAAAGGTGTGTTATAGTGATACGAGTTCTGTGGGGGAAAATGCAACATGCGTACCCTATTTAATGACTGAGAGTGGGCTTGCCATTCTATTCACTTGGTTTCTGTGCGGTGTCTATGGCTGTAACTCACCGTGTGAGCCATTGCCATTCTGTTTTCTATTCTGAAATCATAGGCTACAATACCTCCTGCTTTATGCTCCTCTCACAGTTGCTTTGCCTGTTCAGGGTCCTTAGTGTCCCTTAGGATTATAGTCTATGACTTAAGTCAATCACAGAAAAAAAAAATAGCGTGTGAAATAGCTAGAGACCAGCACGTAGCAAGAAACGGAACTGTGTCTGTCACCAGGGATGTAGGGAAGGAGAAGAGGTTGGAGTTTTGATCTTGTGTGAGGAGAGAAGTTCCCTGAGAGCTGTTGCACTGGGCTGCTCTGCCCTCCTTCCTGCTTGGTGTGTTTACACTTTGGTTAAAAGGGTGGATCTCATATTAAACACTCTCACTTAAATTTTAAAGAGCAAAAGAAAAAAAATGGTATAATCAGAAAGACCAGAAGAAAAACACCAAACCATAGTTATTTTTAAAAAATGATTTGTAGTTAAAAAGCTAATGCATTTTAATATGTTAGGAATTTGAATGGTGACCATTCCTGTGCGTCCCTCATTGATGTAAATTGACTGACATTTTTCCTCATTTAAATGCCTGTCTGGTTTAAGGAAATCATACAGAAAAAGGAGCAGGTTGTTTGTATGGCACAGGGGCTAGGGTGGGCAGGTAATTCGGTAGAATTCCATGGGTCATGTCTAAAAGGAGCATATGCATCTGTTGACAGAAGGCTTTGCATCCAAACCGTAAGGTATTGTCTGTTTATGTCATGCTTCCGTGGCTGGAGACATCCCTGATTTCACGCAACTGAGGCTGGCTGCCTTGTTCCTGACTAATTCACATCACAGGTCTCAGGAAGGAAGCTGTACCTTTCACAGACC